ATGTTAATGTAAACCATTTTTCATGGTAGACTATTTAACAGTGATTGCCCTAGGTGTGTGTCGGGGAACAGATATTTTTACTGTGCTCCTGAACGCAACATAACTCGAAATTTCTTCTGCAGCCAAGGCACGGTGTGAGGGGAGCCTGTTTTGAATGTTGAGCTTAAAAAAATTAAATAAGGCTTTTTGGACAAATACAACTCTAGTTGTCACCTGTGTCTTATAGCTGCACCATATAATGCTATTGGCTACTTTATGACTAACGTTAGTGACTTAAGTATGTCATTCGTTCCTACATTAAAATAAATCAGCAGTCTCTACATGGCACGGACTGCAATAGTTATCTCATGGTCACAACATAATTATTGTGTAGCCACTGGATATTTTTTTAATCCATCATCGTATTTACAGTACATTTAAAACATGAAATTAGTTCTTTTACTTTTTACTTTAAAACAGAACATCTCAATACACGCTACAAATTTAAATATGACAGAAACTCATCATGAAAGGAGTTGTTTATTCACTCTAAAAAATTAAGTGTTGAATTTACTTAACCAAGTTCTGTCAACTGGTTCCAGAAAACTGAGTTGAATAAATTGCTTCACATTGATTCAACTCAGTTTACWCCAGGAAGGAGTGGTCTCTAYTGTGATAGACTAWTGGAGATCCTTTTAAATAAACAAATAAATTAATTGAACCAGTTGACATAACTTGTAAGCTCAACATTTCATTTTTTTAAAGTGTGTGTAAAATTACTTTTACTTTCCTGATTATTGTGAGCAGTTTTATGACTGTTACTTGAGTTATTTTTCTATTCGTAATTTTTTTTCTGAAGTCATTTTCTGATAGAGTATTTTCACTTTTACTTATTTTTTTCAAGAACTTTATACACATCTGCAGAGTACATTTTGTAGACAAGAGAAACTATATGGCCATGATATTTGAGTWATGTTAGTGATCCAGATGTTAATGAAAACCCTAAACCAGTTCCCATCCTGAACACAGCTTTGGATTGTTAAAAATAAAATAAATGCAGAAGACCAGAACCGTGGCATCACTCACTTCAACTAACTCATCACTCTAATAAATTTTGTCCTGCTTCTAATCCAGGCCTGAAATAACTCTTTTTCTAACAAAGTTGGTTTAAAAGTTGGTTTATTAAAAATGTATTTATTCATATAATACTCACTTGCTGTGCTGCTTGCATATTTGGCGCTGTTTGAGCGTGAACGGGTAACGGGAGCTTTGCTGAGCATGGCTTTCTGTGGCCTTTCCCCAGGCTTCACTCCTGCAGAGGCCTTTAGACTGGAGCCGCCGGTCAAATCTGTGGAGCGGTTGGAAGATCCGGAGCTCCTGCTCGTCCACTGYGAGGTGGAAGAAACCTCCGTATCACTGGTTGTGTTGAAAGATCCAGCCCGCCTACGAGGCATGGCCAGCATGTCCAGTCTGGAGAGCTTCTTGGCTTCCTGGGTCTGCTTTGCCGGAGCATTGTTAGATTCTTGGGACAACTTGTCGGTTTCGGTCCCCTCGTTGTCCGAGGCCTCTCCCAGACGAGCCCGGCGGAGCATTGAAGCCCTGGTGGGCCTTGGGGCTGACAAGCTGCTAGTACGACTCAAGGCTTGAGCCATTTTGGACCCCTTGCCGTCCTCCTTCTGAAGAGGGACGGTATACTTCCTTTGTATTTGGTTGTTGCTGCTCTCCTGATCTGAATAAGGTAAACTCTGAGGCTCATCACTCAGGTCTGTAGAGCCGGACTTTCCAACACTACGTCTGAGCCCGACTGGTTTCCTGACAGGCTCAGTTTTGTTGCTTCTGTTTGGTCCATAAGAATGAGGCTTTTCAGACTGATTTGAGTCTTGACCAGTTGTGTTGGTAGAAAACGTGTCGCTGTGAGGGCCACCAGGAGCTGGTTGTGCCATCAGTGACTTTGGCTTGTTGTTATCGCTGTTCTGGCTGACTGTGCTGGAGGTATCCACATCAGAATCCCCGGAAAGTGAGTCCGTTATGGGCGATGGAGCGATCTCTGACTGCCCTGCTTGGAGTTTGGCCTCCAAAACAGCCAGAACATCCTCTGTCTGTTTGAGGTAAGAGTGAGTGTCCTGTGTGCTGCCTCTCAGGAATAACCCATTGTCTGGATCTCTTTCAACTGGGAGACTGGAGATGTTAGGCAGTCTGGCATTGCTAGGCTTGTCCTTGGTGAAGCTCTCCTGTCTGATTAATGACGGCGCTGCAGCTTCTTTACTCTCTGGACTCTGTGCCCTGTGACCCAGCATGGGCTGCGACGCACTGGATCTGACCGTTTCGGAGTCCTGGATTCCTTTTTGTTTGGTGAGAGTAGCAGTTGAAAAGGTTCTGTTAGCAGGTTTTCTCTCCGGTTGCGGTTTGGACTCCTCCTCCTCTGGCCCGATGCAGAAAGCCGCAGACCTGACAGCGAGCCTTAGCTTCTCTTCTGCATCAGTCAGCCGCCTCCTGCTGTGCTCCACGCCACATCCATCATCTGACCTGCTGGCATCACTCAGGCTGTCAGGCTCTACATCATCCTGCACCGTTAACCTGTGCACATCATCTCGAGACCTGGGGGCCTCTGAGCCGCTGTTCTCCATGACAAATGTGGAATTGGGGTTACAATGAACATGGATACTGGGAGTTGGAAGGTCACTCCTCTCCTCCTGGGGGAGATGTGTCAGGATGCGTCGAGCCCTTGAAGCGTCGGCATCCGAGTCGTTTTGGTGCTGGCTGCGTGCGGTCCTATGGGTGACGGCGCCTCGTGCTGAAGTGAACAGTTTTAATGCATATTAACCACACATACTGAATATCATTCATATTCATCAGGGTGTCTCATTATCATTTTAAATAGACCAATAGCTCGTCAGGTGGCTTACCCCCTCCTGACAGTTCCATCTGCGAAGGGGTGTCAAAGAGGCCAGACGAAGGAGCAGATTCGGTGTAGCTGTCTGCCAAGCTGGCCCAGCAAGACATCCACTTAGGAGCCCCTTGAACTCCGGCAGCTGCTGGCTGAACCTGTGGGAGAAAATATACAACAATTCATCATCTTAAAAGAACAACAAAAAAACAGGATTTATGAGGAAGCAAACTAGATAATCATGATTTCCACGGTTAGGGTAACAGACGCCAGAAGATCACTTCATAAGCATGTAGTACGACTGCAAAATTAAGTTTAATTCTCAAAGGGATCCAAGATTAGTTGTAACAATAGACTTGATTTGACAAATATATATTTTAACTGTAAAATAAAGACTGTAAAAATACTGTAGGCTGTTTGGTTTTGTGAATTTTAAAAATATATATTTTAACACAGACAAAGCCATTTTATTTGCATGCAAAGCATTCTGAATAAATGTTGACGTGGATAGGTCCTCGTTGCGAGGCTGCTAGTGAGCTATATCCACCCTGAAG